TATGGCCTTCATTGGATCTTCAGCGTCATATAAACCTTTAGTGTTTTTTAAAAATAACTTAGAATTTATTTATTTATTTTTATTTTATTGTCAAACACAAAATTGTCTAACACAAGAAGTGCTAGTAATACAACGTTTCAGACATTAATGAGAATAGTAGAACAGGGAGAGATTAAGGAAGTGTTTGCTAGAGTTTGCTAATTGTTTTGTTGTAGTTTATTCAATAATTTATGGCTATTTTTATTGTATTGTATTTATTTTTATTTTTAATGAACAGTACAGTACACATAGATCTATTTGTATAGAGTTTTTATTTAAATTCCTTAACCATAATAACACTGATCCTCACAGAGATCCCCATTTCCAGCTGACAAACTATTTCTGTGTATGACTGATCTTATGGCTACATGGGCAGGCTGATCAATGAAGACATCCAGCTCATTAATATTCCACATCTCCAAAGACCTGCTCACCTCTGACGCCTCCCAACCAGACAATACTGCGTGACCTGAGTGTCCTTTAAAATGATCAGCAGGGGACAGCTAAAAGGCTCCATAATCCAATAAATAGAATAAAGGCTCATTATTCAATTCTCAACAATTAAGTGTGTCTATTCTTTGTAATCAAGCGCTGAGTAAATGTTTCTCATATGAGGCCCACCTCTCACCTCCACCCAGAGCACACTCATGCAAATGCACAATTAAAACAAGCCATTACCCTTCCAGAATGCAAAACTCTCATCCTATTATCATGACTAATTGAGGCTTTATAACATAGTGTTGAGGTTTGTTTAGACAGTGACTCTTGTCACAACAGAACAAAATAAAACTATTAGGCAAGCAACTGTGCAAAATGGTGACTGGTATTATATAAGGAAGTGCTGAAAGAAGATACATTTTGTTATTGGGACAAGAACCATATATGATCCATAAAAAGGCTTTGTGAATACATTGTAACATTACAATCACAGAATTACGGATGCTACTATGGTGAAGGCTTAACTGATAAAAACGTTTTTTTCTCTTTACAAGATGTGTTTACTGAAATACTTTTTACACAGAAGGTTCACACATCACTGAATTGTGCTGTGCTCACCATCACACTCCTTCAGGCTCATTTTTTTGCAGTGCCACACTGATATGAGCAATATAATTAGCCAGTAGATGGCAGCAGCGTGCTGATGAAAGGTGTTGGGCTGGAAGGTTATGACTCCAGAATACCTGTTCATGTCAGCCAGTTACATCTTCACTTATTTGTGCTGCTTTGGCCACCATTTTTGGCATATAGCAGTGGAAACGTTGCCACAATCATAAAACAAAAACTGCATGATTAACCTAATTTTTAAATAAGCTCTTGAAAATATATTTTTAAGTGTCAGTCGCAAAGGCAAATGGGGCATAACTAGCATTATTTTACAGACTATTTTACAGAAATGAGATGATTAACCATCATCTCATCCTTGAATGACTCAAGTACATTAAGATTAATTCAGATCTCTGATGGTTTTATATGTCAAATTAGTGGCATCCACATTTGAGTATGTATATCAACTACTGTACTGTATATCGATGTTGCTCCAAACCAGTATGAATTTCCTTCTTCTGTTGAACACAAAAGAAGATATTTTGAAGAATGTTGGTAATCAAACAGTTCTGACTTCAATCTTCTGTTCAAAATACCAAAACATTTCAGGTCCCATTGACTTCCATAGAATTTTGTGTCCAAACTTTGGAAGTCAATGGGTGAAATTATTTGGCTACTAACATTATTCAAAAACATTATTTTCTTTTCCACAGAAGAAAGAAATGCATACAGGTTTGTAATGACATGAGGGTGAATAATTGATGACAGAATTTTAAATTTAAGGGTGGACTATATTTATAAGAAATATCTAGTGCTTCATAACAGGGATCAGATGCCCATCTCAACCTGTTGAGCTCAAGATGCGTTTAATCTGACAAACATTTATTTTAGTATCACTGAGTATCATAATAATATTTTGATGTAATTAATATTTTTATGTTTCCTGTTTTCATTTTAATTTTATTTAAAAGTGTTAGTATTTTTTAAACGTACTCAAAGAATATACAGTATATACATATATACTGTACACACACACACACGTATATATATATATATATAATCAAGTTAAACTAAATTACAATTAGAATCGTTATCTTAACAACTAGCTAAAATAAAATGAATTGAGTTTTTTTGTTTTGTTTTAAATATTGTTTAAATTTAGTTCAAGTAACATTTTATTTATTTATTATCTTATCTTATCTTATCTTATCTTATCTCATCTTATCTTATCTTATCTTATCTTATCTTATCTTATCTTATCTTATCTTATCTTATCTTATCTTATCTTATCTTATCTTATCTTATCTCTTTTTTCATGGTTTTACCTTCAGTTAACTATAACAACCCTGAATAGGAGGTTGAATTTTAAGAGAAAAAATGGGGGAGAAGAGGAGGCTTAGCTGGTAACAATGCTTGTGAGGTACAGGAACTGCTTGAGGAGTGAGAAAACATAAGTGAACAGGATGACAGATCAGAGTAAGACCCATGTTGTGATCTGTGAGCTGTGAAAAGCACCTAACTTCACTAGTCTTATGTCCAGATTTACAGCTGCACCTCAATTTAAAGTGCAATATTCTTGTGCGGTCATGAGATATAGGTGGGTTACAAGCGCAGGTCTCATAACGCACGATGAGCCTCGGCCTGTGAAAACACCCCTCTGATCTTTATTATTGTATTACTGAGAAAGTGTGAGAGCAACCTGCTGTACTGAGGTAAGCACTGTAATTATGAACACTGTATCTCTGTGTGACTCCAATTATCCCTCAACATGTAATCTCTCTCTTTCCCTCCCTCTCACTCATTCACTCACTCACTCACTCACACAAGTTATGAGAGTCTCAGACTTATGAGAAGGATGAGCAAAGGGAGTGGGTGAAAGATAAGTAGACGAAGAACATGTGCTGCTTGCCACGTGATTCACCACAATGTGTTGCTAAGATGTTCGGAATGTGTTTTTAGGGTGAGCGTGATTTCACCAAGTACAACATGTTCCTGGATCAACATCCTTGTTGATCCTGGAACATCATTCCAATCAACCAATCAGAATTGAGAGATAACTTTTCAGGAAATGTTAGTTTTAGGCTTACAATCAGGATTAGGTGCTTCTACACCCTTGTTAATCAGCTATCGTTTCCCTCTGATTTTAGGAACAAATTATGTGTAAGGTTAGGTTTAGGGGTAGGGATTGGGTTATTAGTCTGTATTTTTGGACAGTAATGTTGATCCAGGGGTGTTAGGGTGTTACTAAGTTGTTCTGAGTGATTTAAGCACGCTGCTACATGGTTGCAAGGGTGTTGCTAGGGTGTTTTGTTGCTGTGACTGGCAAGGTGTTGCTAAGGTTCTAAGTACGTGGTTACTAGGATGGTCTTTGTGACTGCTGGGCATTGTCAAGGTGTTCGGAATGTTTTAGCATGTTGCTATGTGGTTGCTAGGGTGTTCTGGGTGGTTGCCAGGTTGTTGCTAAGGTGTTCACAGTGTTTTTCAGACATTGCTTTGCAGTTGCTATGGTTTTGATGGTTGTTGCCAAGGCATTGCTACAGTGTTCTGAGTTTTAGTGTATTGTTATGTGGTTTCTAGGGTGTTCTGAGTAGTTGCCAGGGCGTTGCTAAGGTATTCTGAGTGTTCATTGCTATGCGGTTGCTAGGTGGTCTTGGTGGCTTCTGGGCATTGCTAAGCTGCTCTGAGTTTCCAGGGCTTTGCTATGGTGTTCTGAATGTTTTAGCATTTTGCTATATCATTCCTAGGGTTTTGTTTGATTATTATCAGGGCATCTCTGTGGTATTCTGAGTTTCAGTGCATTGCCATGTGGTTTCTATCGTGGGGGATTCCAGGGCATTACTAAGATGTTTTGAGTGGTTTTAGCATGTTGCTATGTTGTTGCTAGGGGTTTGTCAATTGTGCATCTCTATGGTGTTCTGAGTTTTAATGCATTGCTATGCAGTTACCAAGGCATTGTTAAGGTGTTCTGAACGTTTGAGTAGGTTGCTATACGGTTGACAGGGTGTTGCAAGGGAGCTTTCTCTGTGGTTGCAGGGTGTTGCTAAGGTGTTCACAGTGTATTTCATACATTGGTATGCAGTTGCTATGGTTTTGACAGTTGTTGCCAAGACATTGCTAGAGTGTTCTGAGTTTTAGTGTATTATTATGTGGTTTCTAGGGTGTTCTGAGTAGTTGCCAGGGCCTTGCTAAGGTATTCTGAGTGTTCTTAGTTTGAGTGCATTGTTGTGTGGTTGCTAGGTGGTCTTGGTGGCTTCTGGGCATTGCTAAGCTGCTCTGAGTTTCCAGGGCTTTGCTATGGTGTTCTGAATGTTTTAGCATTTTGCTATGTCATTTCTAGGGTTTTGTTTGATTGTTATCAGGGCATCTCTGTGGTATTCTGAGTTTCAGTGCATTGCCATGTGGTTTCTATGGTGTTTTGGGGGATTCCAGGGCGTTACTAAGAGTGGTTTTAACATGTTGCTATGTTGTTGCTAGGGGTTTGTCAATTGTGCATCTCTATGGTGGTCTGAGTTTTAATGCATTGCTATGCAGTTACCAAGGCATTGTTAAGGTGTTCTGAATGTTTGAGTAGGTTGTCATACGGTTGACAGGGTGTTGCTAGGGAGCTTTCTCTGTGGTTGCAGGGTGTTGCTAAGGTGTTCACAGTGTTTTTCAGACATTGCTATCCAGTTGTTATGGTTTTAACAGTTGTTGCCAAGGCATTGCTACAGTGTTATGAGTTTAAGGGCATTGCTATGCAGTTGCTAAGGTGTTATGGGTGGTTGCCACAGTGTTGCTAAGGGGTTTTGAGAAAATGTATGCAGTTGAATTTATGTGCAAATTTATATGCAGGGCATTGCTAGGGTGCTCTGAGTGTTTTAGCTCGTTGTTATTCACTTGCTACAATGTTACTAGGTGGTCAATAAGTGGTTGCTTACCAGCTTCAAAACTCTGAGCCACGGCGGTCAAGTGGCTGCCAAGCATTTGAACTTCCAGATTCTGTTCCAACATGTTCTTCAAATTATCTAGTGTCTCTATAAATAAACATAAACAAAAGCAATCAATTAAAAAAGATCCAATAGAGAATTTTCAATTAAGCAAATGCTTATAATTGTTGTAAATGATTTAGCATGTGTTCACATCTTATCCATTTATGATTTAGTAGTAAAGTTCTCTAATCTGTAGATTAGTACACATGCACTGTGTTTTCATATTCCACAGATGGTGATATATTCCCATGCAGCACACACACACACACACACTCCATCTCCATGGGGAGGATGTCCATCACATCTTCTTTGATCTTCAGTCTTCTGCAGGCTTACAGAACAGCAAAGGGACCCTCAGTTGTTGCATCTGTAGCGAAGTGGCCAATTATGCTTCAAAGTAAAACCAGTTTTTTTTAAACACACCCCATAAGGCATCCCCCTGGCTCTTTTCCCTCTGCTCCGTGTTTTATCCCATTCCCGCTCTCTCATTCTCTTACTCAGGTACATGGAATGCAGACACACACCTGCTCGGCACGTTTTGGTCTTTTGATACCATCAAACATTAACAAAAAAGCTTGACAGCCCAGGTGTTTAAGTATTCTAGACAAGTCCAGTGAAGCCTCTTTCCTACTTCCTTTTGGGTTAACATTTCCTTCCTCTGTGCTTTTAACCAACCCAGCTCTGACACTCTGTGGCCAAGTTACATGGAATTTTTCTATACAAGGCAATATGCAAAAATCCAGGAAGCATCCAAATGGAGACGGTACTCCAGAGGCCAAACCATATTTATCAGTTCATCAGAGGAGACAAATGAAAAAAGACAAGCTTTATTTTGCTCCCATTATTTGATACTTGCAAATGGAGCGCTTCCCTCCCATTCTGTGCCTGTCACGGCGAAACAAAAAAGCTTTTTAGTTTGGAGGAATTATTTGAGATAATGTGTGTTCTCCCAGTGAGACTCACAACTGATTTAACCTGGCTGCGAGTTGCCGTGGAGATGTGCGATGAGGGCGTGCACGAGCGTGTGGTGTCGCTCTCGGTAGCTGATGGGAATAAACTGGAGAAATAAAGAACATTGAGTTTCTAATGAATCTGTGCTGCACCTCCTCACAGCATGTGCAAATTGAAATAATGTCTCCAAACAGCCAAAGTGAAAGTTGCCCTTGTTTGACATTGTTGCAATCATATAACATTACTTTAAAACTGGGTGTATGTTTGTATGGATGTGTAGGTTCATATTCTTAAACAAACCAAACTCAGACTGCTTAAACAGAAAAAAGTAGCAAGGTAACTTTGTATTCACACGGTCTCTGGTCTCAAAAGTGGATTCTATTTTAGTATTTTGGTATATTTTAGTTGTGAAGGCCTCATTTTGGTTTGCATTTTGGTCCACATTCCTAGATTATTTCAACCCTGTCACAATACATTTGGAATTCATATACTTTGAATAGATAGGTATATGCATTTTTAATGTATGAATAATATTTGCATACAAAGAAAGAAAGAAAGTGTCTGTTCCCCGAATAGTGAGGTCAAAATATAAATTTAATGCAGGATCAAGAAAAAATCTGATCGTGATTAAACCAGAAAAATGTAAAATAAATTAACAAAAAACATTTTTAAAGTTTGGGCTCCTATAAATTAGATCACTCGCACCTAAAACAGTTATTGTAAATGAAATGATCACAGATAATCGTTTGGATGTACTCTGCTTGACTGAAACCTGGCTAAAACCTAATGATTATATTGGTCTAAATGAGTCTACGCACCAAGCTACTATTATAAGCATGAGCCCCGTCAGACTGGTCGTGGCGGCGGTGTTGCAACAATACATAGTGATATTCTCAATGTTACTCAGAAAACAGGATACAGGTTTAACTCATTCAAAATACTTCTGCTTAATGTTACACTGTCAGATATGCAAAATAAATCTATCGTATCTCTGGCTCTGGCTACTGTGTATCGACCACCAGGGCCGTATACAGATTTCCTAAAATAATTTGCAGATTTCCTCTCAGACCTATTGATTACTGTTGATAAAGCGCTAATTGTCGGAGATTTTAATATTCACGTTGATAATACAAATGATGAATTAGGACTTGCATTTACTGACCTAATAAATTCTTTTGGAGTCAAGCAAATCTTCACGGGGCCCACTCATCGTTTTAATCATATGCTAGATTTAATTAGATCGCATGGAATTGATCTTACTGATATAGATATCGAACCTCAAAGCGATGATGTTACTGACCATTTCCTTGTATCGTGCATGCTGCGTATTACTAATATTAACTATATGGCTCCGCGTTATCGTCCGGGCAGAACTATTGTTCCAGCCACCAAAGACAGATTCACAAATAACCTGCCTGATTTATCTCAACTGCTCTGTGTACCAATAAGTACACATGAACTAGACGAAATAACTAGCAACATGGGCACTATCTTCTCTAATACACAGTTATTGTAAATGAAATGATCACAGATAATCGTTTGGATGTACTCTGCTTGACTGAAACCTGGCTAAAACCTAATGATTATATTGGTCTAAATGAGTCTACTCCACCAAGCTACTATTATAAGCATGAGCCCCGTCAGACTGGTCGTGGCGGCGGTGTTGCAACAATATTGTCAATGTTACTCAGAAGACAGGATACAGGTTTTACTCATTCAAAATACTTCTGCTTAATGTTACACTGTCAGATATGCAAAATAAATCTATCGTATCTCTGGCTCTGGCTACTGTGTATCGACCACCAGGGCCGTATACAGATTTCCTAAAATAATTTGCAGATTTCCTCTCAGACCTATTGGTAAATGTTGATAAAGCGCTCATTGTCAGAGATTTTAACATTCACATTGATAATACAAATGATGCATTAGGACTTGCGTTTAACTAATAAACTCTTTTGGAGTCAAGCAAAACGTCACCGGGCCCACTCATCATTTTAATAATTCGCTAGATTTAATTATATCGCATGGAATCGATCTTACTGATATATATATATATCGTACCTCAAAGTGATGATGTTAGTGACCATTTCTTTGTATCGTGCATGCTGCGCATTACTGATATTAACTATATGGCTCCATGTTATCGTCCAGGAAGAACTATTGTTCCAGCCACCAAAGACAGATTCACAAATAACCTACCTGATTTATCTCAACTGCTCTGTGGACCCATAAACACAAATGAACTAGATGAAATGACTAGCAATATGGGCACTATATTCTCTAATACATTAGAAGCTGTTGCCCCCATCAAATTGAAAAAGGTTCGAGAAAAACGTACTGCGCCATGATACAACAGTAATACCCATTCTCTCAAGAAAAAAACTCGTAGTCTTGAGCGCAAATGGAGAAAAACTAATTTGGAAGTTTTTAGAATTGCATGGAAAAACAGTATGTCCAGCTATAGACAGGCTCTAAAAGCTGCCAGGGCCGAGCATATCCACAAACTCATAGAAAATAACCAAAACAATCCAAGGTTTTTATTTAGCACAGTGGCTAGATTAACAAATAACCAGACGCCACCCGATCTAAATATTCCCTCACAGTTCAGATCCTACCTGTCCAAACGCTACCACTTTGTTTATTTAAACGGGGAGTCATCTCAATTATCACCAGTAAAGTATGGAGTGCCACAAGGATCTGTCCTAGGTCCTCTGCTATTTTCAATATACATGTTGCCCCTTGGAAATATTATTAGAAAATATGGGATTAGTTTCCATTTTTATGCTGATGATACTCAACTATATATTTCAACAAGACCAGATGAAACTTCTAAATTATCTAAGCTAACAGAGTGTGTTAAAAATGTAAAAGATTGGATGACCAATACTTTTCTCCTATTAAATTCGGATAAAACAGAGAGATTACTCATTGGACCAATAACAGTACACATAATCTCTTGGATTACAATTTGCAACTAGACGGATGTACTGTTACTTCCTCTACAGTCAAAAATCTGGGTGTTATATTAGATAGTGTTACGTCCTGTGATGTAATTTGTACTGTTCTGGGGTCAGTCAAGAGTTTTTGTATTTTCTCTGTTTTCTTTTCTCTCCTGTGCTGCCGCTCTAATAGGAGCTGATTAATGGCACCTGATACTCGTTTGCTGATGACCAACTAACTCCTCATTCATTGGCTCCGCCAGAGAGGAAACCAGCTATAAAAGCCACCAAGAAAGCATAGTTGAGAGGAAATTAGAAAGTTTGAGCCATCTCTCTTTCCACATGGACCTTCTCTGCAGCCCCAGAGAAGTGTTGGTAGTTGTTGTTTTTGGTGTTTTCTAACTGCTACTTAATGTCAAATCTGTGTTAGAGTTTCAGTTAGTGTGCTGTTGCTGTGCTCCCACCTAGACTGTTAAACTAATTTCTCAATATTGCTGACTTTTTTGGTAGTTTATTTAATATTGGTTAAATTGGTTGCATTATAATTTGTAGGGAGGAGGTTCCATTTCTTTATTTATTTTTTCCTCCTGTTTTTGGGTAAGCTAGGTAATTAAGGAAGTGTTGTCTTTTTGTTCCCTGTGTTAGGCAAGTTAGATTTAAAATGGGGTAAGATACTGTTTTTGTTATTTTGGCTATGTCCCCTCCTGAAGCTTTGCTTTGTTCCTGTTATTTTATGTAATAAATCAAATGTGTAGTGGATCTTTTTGTGGTTGGCAGTGTTCTTTAGGGCTGGGACTGGGATGAGAGGCTCCATGTGGACTTTCCTTTCCTTTTGTTACGTGTTCCTCAATTCCCCTAGATTAATTACAAAAAGGGGTCGTAAAAAATAGCAACTTGTCTTTCGAAAATAATATTTCCCGTGTTACAAAAACCGCATTCTTCCGTCTTAAACTTTGCCAAGCATAGTTTGCAGAAAAGCTAGTTCATGCATTCATGATCTCTAGACTGGACTATTGTAATGCACTGCTAGGTGGTTGTCCTGCATCCTCAACAAACAAGCTACAGGTAGTCCAAAATGCAGCGGCTAGAGTCCTTACCAGGTCAAGAAAATATGATCATATTAATCAAATTT